GCCCCTTTTCGACGCCGCCGCCGGCGCCTTCCCCGCCCCTCAATGGGGCATCGTGGACCTCTCCCCGGGCCACCACCAGCACCTTTTTGGTGCCTCTGGGGGGCTCAAACGGGGCGAGACCCCCACCCCGGGGCCGGCAGCACCCCCCCCGGAGCCGGGCTCCAAGGAGGAGCAGCAACGGAGCTACTTCCGGCGGCTCAAGTACCTGGTGGAGCGGCGCTTCCCCTGCGCCGCCTGCCCCAAGGCCTCGCGCGGGGCCGCCCACGAGAGACCCCCCCTCCACGAGTGCCGCACCTGCGGCCGCACCTACAGCCACGGCTCCAGCCTGGTGCGGCACCGGCGCTGCCACCGCGACGCCGACGGCGAGGCCGGGTCAGCCAGGGCGGCTCCGGCGCCTAGCGGGGCCCCCGCGGCCTTGGCGTTGGCCAACGGGGTCAACGTGAGTTCTGGCGGGGTCAACGCGGCGCCCAACGGGGTCAACCCCTTGGCCGGCGGGGTGGGCGCGGTGCCCGGCGTCAATGCGGCGCCCAACGGGGTCAACGCGGTGGCGAGCGGGGTCAACGCGGCGCCCAACGGGGTCAACGGAGTCAACGGGGTCAACGCGGCGCCCAACAGGGTCAACGGCGGGCGCGGCGTCAACGTGGGGCCCAACGGGGTCAATGCGGGACCCAACGGGGTCAACGCGACGCCCAACGTCAACACAGGACCCAATGGGGTCAACGTGGGACCCAACGGGGTCAACGTGGGACCCAACGGGGTCAATGCAGGACCCAACGGGGTCAACGTGACGCCCAACGTCAACGCAACGTCCAATGGGGTCAACGCGGGACCCAACGGGGTCAACGCCGCGCCCAACGTCAACCCCTTGGCCAACGGCGTCAACGCCCTGGCCAACGGCCTCAACCTGGTGGCCCCCGGCGGGCTGACGGTGGCCGTGGCGGCCAACGGGGTCATCCCGGTGGTGCCCGGCGGCGGCGGCGTCATCCTGGCGCCCGCGGGGGTCCCGCCGGCCCCGTCCGGTTCAGAGGGCCCGTTCGCCTGCCCGCTGTGCTGGAAGGTGTTCAAGAAGCCGAGCCACCTGGCCCAGCACCAGATCATCCACACGGGCGAGAAGCCCTTCGCCTGCGCCGCCTGCGGCCGCCGCTTCAACCGGCGCGAGAGCCTCACCCGCCACGTCAAGACCCACGAGTCGGGGCCGCGGCCGCGCCTGCCCTGCCCGGCGTGCGGCAAGGAGTTCCGCGACGCCTCGTACCTGCTGCGGCACCGACAGCAGAGCCACGGTCACAGTGGTGGGACCCCCCGGCCGGCGCACCGCTGCGACGTCTGCGGCAAGGCCTACGCCGCGCCACAGAGCCTGCTGAGGCACCGCCGGGCTCACATGGCGACAGAACCCGGCGCCGGGAGCACCGGGAGCACTGGGAGCGCCGGAACCTTGGCGCCGGCGCGGGCTGGATCCTCTTCGTCCTCCCCGGGGGTTTCATCGCGCAGTTTCGGCTGCGCCGTGTGCGGCCGGGCCTTCGGCCGGCGCGAGACCCTGCGGCGCCACGAGCGCATCCACACCGGGGAGAAGCCCCACGAGTGCGGCGTGTGCGGGAAGCGCTTCCGCGAGTCCTTCCACCTGCGCAAGCACCGCGTGGTCCACACCCGGGAGCGGCCCTACCGCTGCGACCTGTGCGGGAAGACATTCGGGTACCCACAGAGCCTCACCCGGCACCGACAGGTTCATCGGGTGCCAACAGCGATGACGGCGACGCCGGCGCCCACCGAGACCCCCAACCCCTCCGGGCTGGGCTGCGGCGCCTGCGGGCAGCGCTTCCCCGACCTCCTCCGCGCCGCCGCCGCCGCCGCCGCCGCCGCCACGGCCAACACCACGACCGCCCACCAGGACCCCCCCGCCCCGCTGCTGCTGCCCACGGGGGCCGCCGAGCGCCCGCCCGGCTGCGACACCTGCGGGCAGGTGTTCGGCTTCCTGGAGAACCTCGTCTGGCACCGCCTGGTGCACCCGGTGCCGGCGACGCCGGAGAGGCCGACGGCGACCGTAGGAGGAGGAGGAGGAGGAGGAACAGACCCCCCGTCCGTCGCCGAGGCCCCGCCGCGGGTGTTGCCGCCGCCGCGCCCCGGGCGCTTCCCCTGCGGCACCTGCGGGCGCAGCTTCAAGCGTTTCCTGGCGCTGGTGACCCACAAGTACGTTCACCTGGCGCAGCACCGGCAACACCCTCACCGGCAACGCTGCGGGGCCTGCGGGCGCCGCTGCTCCGGCGCCTACGAGCTGCTGCTCCACCGCCGCCGCCACCTCCGCCGGCGCCCCTGGCCCTGCGGCGGCTGCGGGCGGCGCTTCTGGGCGGCCCCGCTGCTCCGGCGGCACCGGCGCCGCTGCCTCGCCCGCCTGCGCTGCCGCCACTGCGGCCGGGCCTTCCGCCGAGCCCGGCCGCAGTGGCGGCCCCGCGCCGGACACGCCGGGCGCGAAGGGTCGAGGAGGGGGCCGCT